CATTTACTCAGAGCAAGTTCATTGGAGTAGAACTGGTAAATCATTAAACACACGCTCAGCTGTCTTCCTGCTGAGCAAAAGACTGCTGTTCTACCCACAAGTGCAAGCACCATTACATCAAATGTTCTTCCCCCTGCCATTACCTAAGAAAACAGAATTAATACTGTTCATGCACACAACAGCAATTTAAAACACATCATAATCTTTTCTCTAAACCACATTCATTATGATCAGATATAAAAAACACAACAATTGAATTAATAAACTATAGTTCTACCTTTCACCATGCCAGTTGTGATTGTTGCTGGTAAAATATGCATTTAAACGTTTTTACCTCAACCAAAACAAGTTTTTTCCTGTTCTGTGTGTGCAGATGTTAGGGGTGGATTCAGTCTCTGGTAGTGAATTAGATCATTTCTCATTTCATCTTTGCCACTACATGGTGTAAGACGCTGCAAGCTGGTGCTACTTACTCATTTTTCATTGTTTATTTCTAAAAGTGCTGTATTGTTCGTAACCCCTAACTTCAAGTATGAGACATGAATCATAAAAAATTCTATCGAGTGAAGAAATAAACGTGTCATGCCAGCATTAAATGTTGACTCAAATAAGTTCACAAGTTCTGTCTCCTCTGATCTCTAACATGATCAGAAAGCAGCACCAGTTTACAGAGACAAGACGTGAAAAAAGTTCCATGCACAGACACAAAAGAAATATTTTGATATAGACCCAAAGAGAAAACATATCAAAAGACATTTTTATACATGTCTTTTGCAAGCACAAAAAGCAGAAATGGTGTCAAGAGAAAACAAAACAGAAGGCTTGTTTCTTCCAACAATTGCTTTAAGCTACAAAAATCTCCTTGAGTCCCTAGCCACCCCTCAATGTCAGCCCCCCTCCCGTCACCCTCCCTCCCTCTCTCTTCTTCGTTTCTCTCTTTTCCCCCTTTCCCTCTCCAAGGCAGGACAGGGCCCTCTTTGCACCCTGATAGGTTGCGGGCTGATGCTTAGCAACAACATTCCTGTGCCCTAAGTAGCAGTAAGCCTCTGGCTGAACTCTTTGATGTGGCTGTCAGGCCACATTTATTTCCTTTTAGCACTTTGTCTACTTGTCCAGATGTATAAGGAGATAAAAAGGGCTGGTGTTTACACTGGTCTCCCTCTGTAGCGCGGCTGTAATTAGATTGTATTGCTGGTCAGTATTAAGGAGGGAGGTGAGGTGAGGCTAGGCAAGAACCACCTGTGTCAGGATGAGCTGTTCAGGGTGAGACCTCAGAGCCAGTTGAATGCAGTGTTGTATTACATGGTGCAAAAATAGTTACCTTTATGTACTTTTGTACATAACACTGACACCCAACATCTTAATCACATTCCAGTCAAGTAATGTACCGTAATATAACGGCCATCAAGATTTGATATCGATAGCCAAGCTTGCAAAACTTTGTAAACTTTGTTGCAGTCGCATCTGAAAAACACCTAGATATTTGTCAACCATCGACTCACTTTCTGTATCTCATATTTTCAGGAACCCCACTGTGGTTATGTGCTCTATGTGGCTCTTCTTGTGTTTTGCTTTTCTTGTCTTTCCATCCCTCTCCTGTGTCTCTCTCTCTCTTCCTGCTCCCCTCTCTCATGGTGATACGTTGGAAGTAATAATCACTATTGCCTCTGGGTTTATCAGCATTTATTCGCATAACAACACAGAAAAGGAGAAGACAGACAGCACTGGTGTGATGTATTATCCAGTATGGGAATCATCTTTCATAATGACATCCAACAGAGCTTCTTTTCTGTGCCACCACCCATTTCTCTCTCTCTCTCTGTGTGTCTCTCTCACTCACTCACACACACATACACACACGCACACACACACACACACTTCATTTCTCTCTCCCTTTTTCCACTCCCCTCTGTCCACCCTTTATTATCACAGAATCCATGGTGCTCCCCAGCCTGTAAATTTGTGCCGCATTATCATAAGCTGTGGTGATAACTCACATTGCATAGAGACAATAATGATGTGAACACTCAGCATATGCCCCGGGCCCAGCAAATTAAAACAATGCTCAGCTTGATGAGCAGACTAATCTGGACAGCAGAGACACTGAGAGAGAGGGAGAGAAGAAAAGGGGGTCCGGGAGCATCTTAAATAGACAACACAGCAGCACCTCCCTCTGTTCAGTGTAGGTACAACTAGAGAAAAGAAGAGAGGGAGACAGGGAGAGAAAGAAAGCAATACAGAAAAGGTGGAAGAAGCATGGATGAAGCGCTTGTTCTGAAAACATGAAAGGGATATGATGTGTGAAAACGAGACGATCACTAGCTTTTATTTTTGTACGTTAGTCGTTTGTATGAATAAGCACTGTGTTCAGCACATATAATTCTGCAATAAATGCAGGAAAGGAAGAACTTGTGTCACTTTATTGTTGGCGCCCCTATCAAGTTTCTAGGAGTAATCATACAGTGTCATGTTTCTGTTCAACATCCCCAGCAATGTATTATCTAGTAGTTTAAAAAAAAGAGCTCAATGTCAGTCATTGATTTATCCCTGGGTTTTATTTTGAAATAAAATTTCAGTTGCGTAGCACCTGAATTATAACTATTTAGTGTCAACAACTTCACATGTATATAGTAACGGTTGTAATGTTTTTAAAAAAATAGTTTAATAGCTCGTCTGTATAGCCCATTTGTTAAAAAAAATAATAATAATAATAAATAAAACAGGCATTCAAATAATCTAAGCCATCAGTCTGTCAGCCTTTACAAAGCATTTACCAGAGTGAAATTTCTCCTTCATTTGTTCCACATGCTTTCTCATCATAAGCATTGCTGCTTTCTCATCCTTTGGACAGGCCATTGACTAAAGTGAAAGAGTGTGGTGAGGTACGAAGGAAGGTCTGAGAGGAGAAAAGGGAGGATCAGGACATGGGATAGCTAGCTGATTGATGTTCTGTGGGTGGGATAAAATGGTTGTGCTGGACAAGACGTGAAGTGACAACCACAGATGCTGAATGGGTCGGGTGTTTGATCAGCAGGCATGATACTGAGGAGGTGAAGTGGTGGTGTCATGCATAGCACAGGGACTGGGTGGGTGGTGATACTGAAAGCAAGGTGACTGACGTCCCATAGGACCAAAACTACGGTATGGAGGCAGCTCAAGACTCTATCCACCATTTAGCTAACCCCAACAGTCATCCCTCTCCTTCTTCACCTCCAACACCCCCCTAACATAGTCGTGGGTGGTGCTGTTAATAATGTGGCAACTAGGAAGATTAATTGTGGGCAAGCAGCAGGATTAGGAGGGGCTCTATGGGGCCAAGCAGGCCAGAAGAGGCCCAGGCCTGTGATCTTTCAAGCAGGCCAGGAAATGAAGCAAGCAGGGCACAACTCAGTGGCTCAGAAGAGCATGGAGGTAGATCAAATAGAGAGGGCTCACAATTCCTGTGTTAATGCCTGAGTTGCTCTGTTAGCTCATTGTAATTGTCATAGACAGACTCTTTTGGTGTTCATTATGACAGCCAATATCAATTATATCCTCGAAACCAAATGGCAAAATGCAAAATCACGGCAATGAAGAGACTTCTCTAGATAGGGTGGGTGGTGATCATTTTGGTTCAGGATCTCTCATTGGCCCATTCCAGTGTCCATTTTGCTGGTGCTGCAGTTAAGAAAATATGAAGTATGAATACCTGATTGTTTTTCCTCGAAAGGGATGTGTCAGTTTTTACTGAGTACAGTATGTTCTTATTTTAGGTTGTTTTACTTCTTTTATTACACATTCCATACAGTGTACAAGCAGGGAGTGATCTGTGATATTTCTTTACAGATTTCAGCCACTCCAGAGGCTGAGAGCAGCAGGTCTGCTGTCAAAACAATATTTTTATTCCAAGCTGTTTCCTTCAAAAGCATGGTACACCAGCGTATATGTAGTAAGGTCTCAAAATAGGCACATTATGCCATTTTTCTCTTTGGTGTAATATGAGACACATGCTGGCCAGACCTTAATTCCTTTCAGAGATGCTATCTGAAAGCACATTATGTGATTGTTTTAAATTCACAGTGCTCTATTTGCCGATGAAAAATATGGTTCCATTTAACAGTGCAGACCATTCCATTTCTCAAGGTTATGCATGGGCATGTAGAGGAACAACAATAAAAGTGGGAAAATGCTGCTCCAAACCATCTCTAATATGTATTTGTCAGTTGAGTCGCTTGCAATGATTAAAGGCCCAGTGAATTCCTTCCTGCAGGAAAGGAAAGTATTTCTGCAAAGGCATCAGATATCGCTGTGTCATGATAAACTGCCTGCTCTGCTAGCTAAAAGGCTATGGGAAGGAAGAGGATGTTTTGGACCTTGAAAGTGCACAAAAGAAACAACACAAGAAACTCTTGACCTGTTTGGGAACATGCTCAGAGAATCAGGCCTCTGTTTTCTCTTTGTCTTTAAGCAGCATTTGTCACACTTGTTTCGCCTGAACCTCTGGCTGTGCATACAATCAATAGCTCATTCTGGCTGCGCAGCCAGGAATTTGTGCATGCATTTAACTCACATTTCAATTCTATGACATTAAATAACATAGCCTGTTAAACAGAGATTTGCATTTAAAATGAAAATTAGACATAGAGAGGTCATTTCATGCCATTTGTCAGACTACCATCACATAAGCTACACTTGGCTGTCCAGAGTGAGTGACGTTTACCCTTTAGTTGACCACTGCAGGAGGTCATGGCTGAGTGAAGGTTAAGACCTCTCCTCCCTAACCAGGTCGTAGATCAGATCATCAAAGCCAGGACTGTAGCTACACAACACGTGAGAAATAATAAAACATGACCTGCCACATTATGTCATAAAACAGGAGCAGTGTTTCCAACATTTCCTGTAGCAATACCAAAGAATTTATGACACTCGCAGTCAGTTACACTAATACTTGACATTTTTAAAGTTGTTGAACCTTTTTTCTTCTAGATATTCATTCTATTTGTATGTTTCCTTTCTCCTAGCTAACTAATGAGGCTGGATCTGAGAGTCAACCACTGCCCTACACTCCTCTACCCCGAGGATCCAGAGATGCCAAGAACCACAAAGGTAAGACGAAGACCTTTGGGCTTCACAACCTTTTCAGTCAGTTGGTTTGTACATACATCTGTGCAATTATTCTTCAAAATAAACAAGAAGCAACACAATATATTATCACACATTCAATGAAAACCTATGGATTATGTAAATGTAAGTCATGACCCTAACAGCTACATAGAGTGGGAATATATTGACCTTGAGACTGAGTTGAAGTTCTGATATCCATTCTTATTGATTTCATCTGATCTGTGTGATGTGTTGATAGTGGGAATAAATCTGAGTAATCTAGGTTAACTCTGATTTGAATGTATGCGTGGGAGCACACAACCCATATACAAGACGAGGCATCCTTGATCTGTTGCTACTAGACATTGATTAGGCCTCATATTGACCCAGTGTAGTCAGTTGATGTAATTGTGTAGCAACTTCTTAACATCAAACACTCCACTCAGTAAGAATGCATTTCATCCATGAAAAAAGATATAATGTTCTAAATTAAGTGTGTAAGCCACCTCCTACATTTGTACCTCAGCTTTAGTAAAAAAAAAATATCCTGACAATCTGTTTCATTATGCTACATAGTATTTTTTATTATTATACAATACCCATAAGTGAGCAATTTTTTCAATCAATTTGATTGATTGATAGATAGATAAACTTTATTGTTATTTCACCTGGGTATTTACATACGCAGAAGAAACGAAAAGTTTATTCTCATCAGCTACTATTGTAGTGCATTTAAAAGGACAATAATCAATAACGCAAACCAAAATAATAATAATAATATAAATTTGCTACACACCAAATGTCCATGTATAGCATTTAGTCAAATGTTGTCCTTAAACTACCAACATATGTTTCATTGACTATCTTAAGAATCTAATCTTAAGAATCTAATAAAGATGTTACACCATAGATGTCACCACTTTGTAAAAGTAACGTTGTAACTATTTACCATAGTGTTAAAGGCACGAAACAGGTCACCAAATTTCACATTTTACTGAAAGGTAGGCAATTTTAACATACTTTCTTGCAAAACAAAAAATATTAGGTACAGTAGTGTTATCTCCATTGTGAATTGTTTGACATCTCAAGTTGGTTTTAATGTCCTGAATGTGCACTTTACAGCCAGGCGTCAGTTTGCCTGCCTTAGTTGGCTGTTTAGAGTGGTTAAACCAGAATCAAGTTTACCTGGAGTCAAACTTTTCTTAATAAGCCACACCGTTCTCGAGGTCTTTCCTAAAGTAACCCCCCAACCCACGCCACCCATTTATGTTGCCAAGGACAGATCTATGTCATGAAAGCCTGGGCGGTGGCAGCTTTCACCGGATATAAGGACAGGAAGAGGCCGTGCTTTGTCAAAATCAGACCTGGCTAAGAACAGTCCATTTAAAGGTGAGGGGATCTGACACATTAAATATTTTCCCCTCCGTCTAAGATCTGAGCAGCAGTGACAGTCTCCATTTGTTATTTTTATGATGCAGCGCTGCAGTCTTAGATAACACAGCTCTCATCTTCGCCCTTCACCTCCTCTTCATGTCCCTGCCTCCAGCCTCTACCCCAGCTCTTTGTAATGTTTTTTGCTTTTATTTATACTTCTTAAACATACTTGAGTTGTCTTTATATGTTGGTCACAGAAACTCCTGTTTCAAAGAGAACAAAGCGGTGCAAAGCGGTGCTACAGACAAAAACAATTTTTCAGACAGTAATTCCAAACAACGGAGCGTTTACTGAGTTAAATTCAGGATATAAACAACAGTGGTGAAACAATATGCTACATGATTTTGTGTAGTTCAGCGCAACACTCGTTTCAATACAGATGGTAAATTAAACAATTTACTACAGGTTTTGTTCAAAATTATACTGTATATCCTGTTTTCTCATCACAGCTCTTTTTCTGTTGTCCTGTAAATGACTGCTTTGTTTGTGCTATAATTCTGATGAACCACACTCAGTACATGAGATAAAAAGCACTTTGTTGTATTGAAAATATATTGTATTATGACATTTCACGATATGTAGAATCAAACCATGAATTTTGTTTCTAAGTACACATTATACAGCATGGAACTGTGAAGTGGCCTTTTTCAGTGGGGGTACAAAGGAGGCTGCATAGTTTTATCCTGACTCCTGCAGTAGCAGGCAGATTAGCAGCACTTCTGACATCGCCCTGTCGGCTGTACAGAAAGAACCTCCCTTTCCTCCTTTCAAACCCTCTGCACCCACCCCCATCCACCATGTCACCTGTGTGAAAGCCCCAGAGCCTGGGTGCCAGAGGTAATTACAGAAGCTAGGAGCTCCCAGAGGAGGCCAGTACTGGCAGGTCACTGCCCAGGGAGAAAGGGGTGGAAACCAAGGACAGAACTCCAAGATAAGCTCCTGTCTTGGTTTAGTGGAGGAGTCAACCTGGATGAGACAGAGCAAAACATGGCAGCGAGGAGAAGAGCAGGAGGCAGAGGAGGGTGGAAAGCGAAAGATGTACTACTGCAGTAGAAAATCTAAATCAGGATTTCCTCCACCAGATCTGACAGATAGATAGATACAGTAGATAGACAGAAAAAGAGGGGAAGTTAAAGCAAAGAAGGAAATACAGTAAGAGGACCAACATTAAATGGTGAAGGACGAGACAAGACTTAAAAATGAGAGAGAGCTAGACAAAAGACAAAGTGAAGGAGGATGGGGGGGGGGGGGGGGGGGGCTCCAGTGGAGTGGAGTGGAGTATATAGTCTGGCAGAGGGGCCTGAGGATCCTCCACTACTGTCACCTTGGCTCTAACTCCCAGTGCTGGTCCGACTGTCAACTCAACTCTAAATCTAACAGTCCAAAATGGAGTCCCAGCCTAAAGTACTGTGTGTCTTCATGAAGACTGGCCTATACCATACTATTAAGCCACAGCCAATGCTATGTTCCGTTCCTGTACCATGATTTATCATTTCAACACGCAAAACAATGTGCTGGGTTATTTATTAGCAGCTTGTCATTTTCTTAGGGTGACACATTTTGAAGTGAGATTCACAAGTTTATTTCATAGATCTAATTATAACTGTGGTTCAGAACAGAAGTATGTAAAAACGATGCTTCAGACTTGATTGATATATCCATGTGCACAGAGGAGATTTTAATGAAATACCTTTCATTTCCGCTGTATATTTCAATAAATATACCAGGCATTAGTAACTGCTTTTTTTTTTCCTTTTTTTTAATTTATTTATTTATTTATTTTTTTACAGGTATCAGATTAAATTTGAGTAGGCCATCCCTCAGTGTTGACAGCAGTAAATGAAAGGGATATCTTTGTACAAGCAGAGTAAACAGACAAGGAAAAATGCCTGAAATACGCCTTACAGTATGTGCCCTGGGCCCTTTTAATATTGTTGTTCTGGGCCTGCTTCCAGCTACTTTGTATGTATGTGTCTTAAATGGTGCACAACTGTTATTAAAGTCCCTGGAGAAAATCAGCCTTCAAAGCACAAAAAAAAACCTCCTTCCTGACGACACCCATGGGGTGTCTCACAGTTGTTTGGCGGTTCACTTTCATTACATGTCGGGGTGATCTGCGCTGTAACTCCTGCTACACTCCCCCTAGCTCCCTCAGCGCCCCCCAAAAAATGGAGCAACGGGAAGAGATCCAAACTAAAGAGTAAACTGTTTTATAGTTGCTGCACAACAAATAAACAAACATCTGGAAGCATTCAGAGCGGCCCATTAGAAGGGCTCTGGGCTTTGCCAAAAAGGGGTAAATGATGAGGAATGGGCTGTCGAAAGGCTGGCGGAGACAGGGGAGAGGCCAGATGACGGAGCTGTGGGTGCTAAGCACTGCCTTTTAGAGCTCAGCTGGGCTCAGAGAGATCTACACCTGCTGCTATCTCCTCCTCCCCTCCTTTCCTCCACCAGACATCTGGATGGGATACATGACTAATGGATGACTAAACCGCTAGTGTTGAAACTTAGCTCTTGTCATAATGAAGGGAAAGGTTGCTGGTATGACTGATGACTTAATGTTTTTGGTTTTTTTGCGCAACACACTTAGTGAAACAAAAAGTGAGTTTGACGGCTTTAAAAAATGTGAATGTGTCAAAACAGATATACAGTTCCCCAATGTCTGTTCACTGTTTCTTGTATAATAACCAGAGCTGATTATATTATTTATAACTGCATGGATCAGATGCTGTTGTGAATATTAACTTTTCATAAAGTCCTGTTGTTTCAAGTCAACACATGTGCTACTGGTTACGGATTTGTTTGGTAAATTAATTGATACATTACCTCAGACATCTGTTTCTTTACTCCCGAGTGGTTTCCCGTGCTTATCTTGAGTTATTCTGTGCTTTTCTGTTTGATGTCACTCTGTAGTTAGAATGAAAGCTCTCATCTTTCTACTGATAATCTTCCCATCCTGGTTTGGACTGCCTTGGCATGTTCCATGAGTATGGAAATGTCCTGTCTGGAACAGGGTGAGAAAAGACAGAGCACCTTTGACGTTTCCCATTAGACACGTGTACGTGCCCTGGAAGACATTTCACTCAGCCTCGTAATGATTATACCAGCAGGATCGGTCCCCTGATAAACATCACTCTTAAACACAAAGACTTGCGCTGGCCCGCACACAACTAAAACTGGGCACATGGAAAGAACAAAGTGTAAGCTTTTCTTCCACACTGGCCCTGAGTACCATTTCCAGAGCTGCTTTCTGTTCACTTTTTATGATAAACTAAAAACAACGCGTGCGTTCAACATCCAGAAAGGACAGATGATGATCTATTGTCACAGAGAATGATATACACAGATCTCACTGCCAGCTATACAACATGAGCTTGTGTTGAGTGAGCCCATGCACATAACTCCACAAGGTGAATTGACAAAGTAAAGACATGGCCTTATTCCCGGGTGCTGAGTTCTTAAAACTGTTTCCCAAGCGCTCGTCACTGCATGAAGGCTTTATTTCTTTGCAGTATTTGCGTTTGTGAGCTGATGAAGTGTCTTAAGATTAGTTTCTAATGACCCGGTGC